AATTAATCTTAATCTCAAATTATGCGGGTCAAGGGTTTATTAACTCTTCGACAAAAAGAGTCACACGAACCGACACCTAATAACAACCTAATTGTAATTTCGTTAAAAAGTCCCAATCTTTCATTCCCCATTCAAAAATTCCAAATTCATGTTCCACGTGAAAAGTTTGCACGTCAAGTGTTTGAACACTTTTCAATGAGCTACTGCCATACCTGAACCAAACACCTGCAAATACGTAAAACAAACCTGCAAACACGCCCGAGGTTTCATTGCATCATCAAAGAGTTCGTGTTCTCGGTCACAGCCCCGTCCTCCGGCAAGTGCCACCGCAAAGAGACCTGGGAGAGGATTCGGCGGCGGCCGTCGAAATTGAACTCGAGGAACGACAAACACTCGCAGGACGTGTGGATCAAACGCGAGAGCGTGCACACGCAGACGAAGGAGATCGAGGACCGATACTCGCAGGACGCGGTGGACAGCAGCAGCGGCCTCGACGACACCCTGCCGAGGATCAAGCCCCCTCGGCCGAACAATCTGCCTCTGTGTGAGTTTCATTAACGAGTGACAACGACTACGAGGACGCAGGGACCGCGCTAATCGCGCCTCTAAACAAATATCGCGTTGTTCTCTCTCTCTCTCTGTCTCTCTCAAGAGACATGCAAATTGCACGGCTCGAAACGCCATTTTCCACGGGGACAATATTCAAAGTCAAGCATCCGCTTTTGTGCCGTTCGTTTGCGAAGCAATTAACCGATCCGCGATTTTTTGATCGGCGGAGAGATTCCTCGTCAAACAGGGGGATGAAAGGTGTCTCTCTAAACTGAAAGAGTATGTGCAGTTGTGTATGTATATCGCTGCGTGAGATGTAATGAAGGAATGATAGAGGAAGCAAGAGGTTTTTCGAATCCTTAATTGCCATTATTGAACCATTAGCAATCAGGATAATTCAGAATTGACTGGCTTAATTCTGATGAAAATGTAGAATACAAAGTAAAATCAGACACTCAGAATTTTATTTAACACGTTATAAATTACTACGGTCATTTATACATAAGGACTCAAGAGGATTAAAGTAAGTTTGTGAACACAAGTTGTGAACTTGTCGAAAGTGTAATAAATTTTCTGATTCTGTTTGTTGCAAAATACGAGTTTGTATAATATTTATACACGACGGAGATTCGAAGGGAACGAGCAAATGTTTCCTTCTTAAATATCATGTTGAAAAACGAATGTTCGTAACAAGCTCTCGTATCAGTCAATGCACTCAAAGCATCAAACATCTTTGAACATTTTTCACGGACAGTTATTACAATTGTCTCTCATTCATTTCTTCGTATCATTTCAAAATCGTACTCATACTCCTTCAAAGCGTAGATATACGGTTCGACAAAGCCCTTCTTCTGATTCTTTAAAGTGAGCAAAAATTTCGCGGTAACGACGTTTCGAGCGTGTTATCCATAAATTCTTCGACGAATGAATAATCTCTCAAACATTCCAATCGACAGGTTTGTCCACCACGGCGAGCAGTTCGCTCAGCTCTGGGGAATTATTGGAAACACCTCCTAGAGCACCGTCCTCCCCTTCCGCGGCGAGTCTTCAACTGAAACCGGAACCTCTGAGCGTGGAAATGGGAGGGAAAAGCAGCAGCGCCCCCTTGTTGGAGAACAACGACGCGGAGAAGACGAACGGGACGGTGCCGGTAAGTTCTGTCCTCCAATTTTATGCTATTATATATCTTGTTCTTTGTTAAATATTAAAATTAAATATTAAAATTTTATTCGACTAAATATTTCGCAACAAGAGACAATATCGTGCAATATTTAACCTAATCTAAAGTAATCTAAAATTCTTGAGAGAAAATTCCTCGCAGCGTGTTAGAATCCTGTCGTCTCAAGTTGAATCGAACGAAATTTTATACAGTTAAATGGACGATTTCTTTCGTACAAATAAATAACTATCCATTGGAAGAATATTAACGAATTGAACAATCAACTTCAGAACATCTACGCCAAGAAGAAGTAAATACGTAGAAAAATACTTCCTTGTTGCATGCTAAAATTTATTTTCGTACTTCTTTTATCTTCGTTACTACAGACACGAATAGTTTCTCTCCGCCAAATCAGAAACCAGAGATCTCTCGCGTAACGTTCAAACACGAATCGCCGTTCCTGACTTGAAGGGACAGTTTGTTCAAATTCACGTTCCCCTCGTAGCCTATTGAGCCGGCGGGCGATCGATCACCGCGAACGCGTACTAACGCGACGATAAATGACCGCGCGCGAGTCCAGGATAGACTGACAACTGTCCGGGTTCGTGTCCTGCTCGAGATATTCCTTCAAGTATCGATAACAGGCTCGAAGCGACAGACTCGAGCCCGTGTGAGCAGAAGAGGCGAAGTTTGGCGTTTC